AACCTTTCCTGTTGTTCAAAAGTTTTTCCTTACTTTATAGTAGCTATAATTTCAAAGCTATGAAGCTTATATCACAGACTGACTGATCTTTCCTATTCCTGTCATTATCTTAGAATAAACAAACAAACTGCCAGCTGCAAACCAGTGAGAGACCAATCATCTTGTGTTATGTTTGTCAAATCAACATACTGTATATTTTTACAGAAGATTCTCTAAAACATGTAATTTATTGTATAATCTGTAGTTGTTTGAGTATAATTATGATCTTATAATAAAAGTTTAAAAAAAACTCCTTGATTTCCAGCAATCCAGCTTCAACTGGCAGCTAGAGATAGCAGATGTGTCAAGTTATTAGATCTTAAACCCAGGAGGGAGAAAAAAGAAAGCTAATAGGAGTCCAACAGGGAACAAAGATTATATTGGAAAACTCCCAATTCTGACTTGGATCCAGTTCCAGTGAACGCAGAGATAAGTATTTCACATCCTCGAGAAAAACACATAATAGAGCTGGGACGTAGGGATAAAACCGTAAGGTAAACAGACAAGGACAAAATGTTTGGCTTCATGGATTGAGTGAGAGCTTTCTTTCCTTGACATAATCTTGAATAGGAAACTAGTTTTTACAAGCAAAACTGGACTTCATCAAACAGAACTGGTGTCAACAAAGTCCTAAGGTATTTTAAAGAAGTATTCAACATAAAGATTTATATTGCATGTTTCAGATTATCAAGCATTTAAGACTAAATAAATAAAACACCCAGTTTAATTTCATTTATAAATTAAATTAAGCTATCAAAAATAACCAGGCCTAATGGGGAAAAAAATTAAAAATCATTGCTCAAAACCTAACGAATGGTTGCACCATTCTCAGCAATAACATTTTTTTCAGATTATACAGAGGACATTTTAATTAGCTCAAACAGAAAGGTTTGTAAGCAGGAGTTGTGCGTTTTAGGTTATATCTTAAAGATCTGGCTGCTTTTGCCTAAAACTTTACTATGGATGCAAATATCAGACATTTTCTCTCTTTTTCTAATTTTCTTTACATTAACAATGTAATATGTTTTTTTTTTTTTTTTTGGTTGTAATTCACAAATTTCTTAATATAACAAGTCAGTTTGGTTTACATATCTTGTTTTCTTTGAAAAATCACACAGTTAGGTCTTCATTTTGGGTAAGCTTCAGTTCTCTTTGAAAGATTTAGGTGTGACAATAAAGTGGAAAAATAAGTATTTAGCGGGTCAAATACTTTTCACCCCAGTGTAGCACATTTATTCACCTAAATGTTGCAAATATAAAGAGCCTTTAAAGCTAAATGGGGTTAGAAAATGTTTAACCAGGTTTGATAATCTACATCTCTGTCTGACACAAATGTGATAGAATAGCAGAACCAGCAATTACCGAAATGGCTACATGCCATCTGCCATACAACAGCAGTAAATTAAAAGCAGCAGCTATATGGGTTGTGGAGGTGAGGGTAAGATAAAGCTCCGCGCTCAGGGAAGGAAGAAGTCCATGTCAGGAGGTTTATTCCCTTTGGGAAGTCCGATGAGGAGAAAGAAATGAACACAAACGAGTCGGAAAAAAATAATTTTTCTCTCTAAGTTTTGACTTGTTTACCATTTATATTTCTTATTAGTCAAACAGTGCCTTAAAGGTATGCGTTGCCATCATTTCATGCAATGTACATTTATTTTGTTTTTGTTGGCACATCACTTAAATAACATCTCATCTCATATATTAATAGAGAGTGCTTCCTGTTTTAGAGAACAGTGCATTTATAGAAGCACAAATTGTAGTTGATGTGCATGAAAATCAGCCCCTCAGGGCCCTTAGGCTTCACTCTTCTGACTCTGCTCTGTTTTCCTAACCAACCATTTTTACTCAAAAAAAACAGCCCGCTGCTGCTTTTTTCTCCTTTTTTTTTTAACCTGTTGAAAATAAATGTGTTTATCACGACAGTCGGAAGGCTGAACACTGACGTCAGAAGTCTGCTGTGTTAATCATTTCATTATTTAACTTATTTATACGTTTTTGTGATGCCACAAATGACTTTAAGGCAAAAATTTCTTTACATTCAAATAGGTTTAAGTTAAATCAGATTTTAATTAAAACTAAGAGAAAAGGAAATTTAATTGATCTGAAAAAATGAAAGGATTATTCGCTAAAATCACATAATATGTTTCCAAAAGTAACTATTATATATAAGTTTGAATATAATTTTTTTAGAACTGCTACCTCAAGATCCTTTTTTAACCAATTTACTTTCATTCTTCATTAATCACATTTTACTGTAGGATGCTGACACAGATTAGGTAAATGAATTTACTCCAATAGTATAACACACCGGATCAATCTCAGGAGATGGTCACAAAATGTAACCAGCGTAGATTTTTAAGCTAAAAAAAATGATAGAAGCTGGTATCAAATAAATCAAACACAACTGCAGAAATAGCAGGAGTCTGCAGCTCAAAGAGAGCAGAGATAACTAATAAACACCAGCATAAGTTTGGTTTGCTGATGAAAAGTTAAAGATGGTGCACAACAACTTTGCTCTGGGTGGATCTGAAAAACCTGAAAATGTTTGGAAAAATACAGATCAGTCAAGCAGCAGCCTCCCTGATATATTACTCCTTACTGAGGAGAAAAACCACCAGTTGCAGCTGTGGTAGAGCAAATAACCGAATGTATCGATTATCCAGTTTTATGAATATTTCATTTTGGGAAAATCTGGATTTTTTAAGGTCCATAGTTCACAGTTGCATAAGTTAATCTCTTTTTTTTATTTATACTTATAATTAAAAACTCATAATGGCTAGCACTGTGACACCATGGGATAGCAGATTTTGAATTAAGATTACTCCAAAGAGTGGGAGATAAAATATGTACTTTGAAGTAATGTACTTAATTTGTCATTTTTGTGAATAACCCTAAAGGGAAGAAAAAAATTGGCCCAAATTTGGTAGGAAAGAATATGAAAGTAGATTTTTAAAGCATATTTATCAGCCAAGCTTTGTCTGCTTAATTCAAAAATCTCAACAATAAGCTCTGAAAGCACAAATGGGCTGCTGTGGATAAATGATTAATGTTCTAATACGATCCTAAGGAGCCTACTTTGGAGTCTGAAGTCAACATTTGCTGGATGAACTATGGATGGATGGATGGATGGATGGATAGACAGATGGATGAATGAATGAATGATTGGATGGATGAACAGATGGATGGATGGATGAATGGATGGATGGATAGACAGATGGATGAATGAATGAATGATTGGATGGATGAACAGATGGATTGATGGATGAATGGATGGATGGATTGATGGATGAATGGATAGATAAACAGATGAATGAATGAATGAATGAATGAATGAATGAATGAATGAATGAATGAATGAATGATTGGATGGATGAACAGATAGATGGATGGATGGATGGATGAATGAATGAATGAATGAATGAATGAATGAATGATTGGATGGATGAACAGATGGATGGATGGATGGATGGATGGATGGATGGATGGATGATGGATGGATGGATGGATGAATGGATGGATGGATGGATGGATGGATGGATGGATGGATGGATGAATGAATGAATGAATGAATGAATGAATGAATGAATGAATGAATGAATGATTGGATGGATGAACAGATGGATGGATGGATGGATGGATGGATGGATGGATGGATGGATGATGGATGGATGGATGGATGAATGGATGGATGGATGGATGGATGGATGAATGGATGGATGGATGGATGATGGATGGATGGATGGATGGATAGAACACAATATTCCAACATAGACGTTAGCAGTTCGCCTCTCGAATTTGTCAGTTTGATTATTTCAAGAATACCATCAGCATAAGTGAAAATTTCCCCTAAAGAAAAATGAGTCCCACATTGCTTTTTATGGAATTCAAAATTGACTCTAAAAAAACTCTTAAAGAAATGCCACCATGCTATTCTGAAAAAAAAAATGGATTTTTAGAGTCTTTCCCTCAGAGTTTATTTTTAACGATGTAATAAAGAATGAACAAAACTTCTACTCCTTTGAACCACTAATTACCACCCAGTGATCTTTAACTTTCTGCAATGAGGAGATGGTCCCTTTACAAAAAGCTGAGGTGAACTTTGTTTCCGACTGAACATCTGGAATAGGCTTTTTCATCTTCTTGCCTTAAGACAGTAACAGCTGTTTGTTAGGGAGCAAGGCTAACTGGTCCTAGGAATTTACTGCAGAGGATGGACAGAAAAAAAAGCTTATTCTTACATAGGATATTCTTACATAGTACGTTCAGCTTTTTTTTTTGCAAAGTTAAAAACAAAAAAAAGCCTTGTAACCTTAAGAGAGTTTCCTTTTTTCCGGTCGGAGCTTCATTCTCCTTTGTAAAAGAGTGAAATAGGCCTAATGGTGTGCTCACACTGAAGATGATACCGGTGATTTTTCCGCATCATTCCAATGCTGTTGCAGTGTGTCATCAAATACAGAGAGCTTCTATCTGCTTGCCAGCTTTAACTCAGCATGTGAGACCTGGATCTTCCTGAGTGAGTCACACAGCTAGATTTAATGGGAAGAGCCAAACAACTGGTGTCCCTTGGTCCGCCTGATCCACCAAGGATGCTCCCAGTTCAGGGAGTCCAGGAGCTATGACTGGATTATGGTGCTTCAGTCTGACCAGGACCTGAAACTGTTATCATGCTTCAGGTGATAAACACTTGGACAACATGGGCAAAGGAAGGGAAAGCTTTGAAGTTCAGACAAGAGCAGCAGAACTAGAGGTTTAGAGCGAGCAACAGAGCCAGACAGAGTGGCTGGCGGTTACTGTGCAATATACATACAGATTTCTAATAACTGATATTTCTCCTACATTCAAGAAATATTATTATAATGCAGTACCGCTCACACTAATATTTAATGGACAACTGGGATTCAATATGTTGTGCATCTCGGAATATAAAGTTAATAACATAACTAGATGAGAATAAAACTCACTTGAGAATAACGCAACCAGTACCACTGGGCGGTGCGGTCCAAAACACCTGTATTCTGGTTCTTCTGCGTGGCGTGCTCTCTGTCACTGCTGGAGGACAGTTGGTCATGAACTGAGTCTCATCATAATCGATAATCTGGGAAAAAAGTGAAGGGTTTTCATATGAATATCAAATCACTGACTTTCAGAGGACAGTCAACTTATGATCTAAAACAGACATCACCACCTGAACAGATCAATATGTGCAGCCATACACAGAAAATGTTAGGATTGTCGGTAACGGTTTAGCAGCAGCAGCTAGGATTTAAGGTAAGATATTTAAGGACCTTTTAAATTAGCTGTGAAATCATGTATTTATCCAATAGAATCATTAAAAAAAAGCAACAGGACCAAAATGCAGCACAAGAGCAGAAACACAAATGCCTTTTAAAGAACTATAAATAAATAAAAACATTATTTTAAAAAGTATTTAATTGACATTTGCACCCTCTGTCAAGTGTGAAATAGAAACAGGCCTGACACAACACTGGGTTTTTGGTCACCTACAGTGGGTAAAATAAGTATGGAACATGCTAACGTTTTTCTGAGTAACTACAGTATGGAGCCGCTAAGTTCAGCTGAAGAAACTGATTGCTCTCCTACATCCACCTGCGACACAGCCAATCAGCTTTGATCCACACCTCCATGAAAGCCAATCGGCATCCAAAGTTCATCTTAAAAGGCCTCCGATCTGCAACTTATCTGCTCCTGTGCGCAGGCGGTGGTTGCGCTGTGTGACATCATTCAGATGACTCCGTTTCAAACCACCAACACCCCCCCACCCCTCTCATTTCTCCGGGGCTCTTACTACGTTCCCTGTCTCATTTCAACCGGTCCGGCAGAAGACCGTCATGTTGAGCCTGGTTCTACCAGAGGTTTCTTCCCAACAGGGAGTTTTTCTTCTCCACTGTCACTTTATGCTTGATCATCATGGACAGGTTCTTTCAACCTGTGTTATTCAACTTGACTTCCATCTTCCAGGTAGGGTTGTCACGATACTAAACTTTTCAACTCGATACCGATACTAACGAAAATATTCGATACTCGATACCATTTTCGATACCACAAGGATAAAAACAAAGACTCCAAAATTCTACAGAAATATTTTCATTAATAAATAAAATACAATAAATAAATACAATAAAGGTTGTATGCTGTGCACAATATTAAGCAAGCTTGATAAAAAACTTATAAAATTAAAATAAAGTGTTCCTTCCTTGGCTATGCTTTGCACACATAACAATGACACTAGCCAAACCGGTTAAGAAACAAAAATAATTCTCAGCAGCTGCACCTGTTACAAAAAAAAAGTCTGAAACTTAAAAGTGCGTAGAATTATTCAATCACAGTGTTCAGAGAGTCCATTTTCCACTATTCTGCACTTTAGATGAATGACTGTTTAGGTGCCACTGGTGGTGGCACTGTATCGATACTTTTAAAAACGAGTATTGTATCCGGATACAACGTTTCAGTATCGATACTTTTTTGAGTATCGATAGTTTTGACAACCCTACTTCCAGGTGAAGCTCTAGTATCAGCTCACGCAGTCCACTAGATCTCCACATAAAGCTCAGCAGACCGTCTCTCTAACCAGCTGTCTACAGACTGACCAACTTCATCTATCTCCACTCCACCACCAGTTTCAGGCCTGGGGGGGAAACAGCCCTGTTCTTTGCTCCTGTTCATGCATGTCTATCAAAATTCATCGCTGTTTCCTGCTGAGGTCTGAGCGCCAAAGACCAAGTAATTGTATCAATAAATTTCTTCTAATTGTCTTTTCTCTTCGTGTGAGTTTTTCAGATTGAAATATATCTAGAGGTGCTATTGGCATGACAGTCTCACCAGATGCCTGTAACAATCCATGAAATCCACACATACAAAGAAATCAAACCATAGATGCCCAGAAATTAAGTTATGTATAATGTTATGAAATGGCACAGGGAAAAAGTATTGAAAACACTAACTGAAATGTATTTTTTGCTTTGTTAAAAAAGCCTTTGTTAGCAATTACAGCTTAAAGTAACCCCCTGTATGAAGAAATTAGTCGCATGCACTGTTCAGGGGTGATTTTGGCCCATTCTTACGGGTGGGGTTCTTAGGGGAGGGGTGGCCTAGTGGTTAGTGCATAAAGCTTGGAATCCTGAGGTTGTGCATTTGAAGACCACTTCCTCAGACTGCCACCCTGGCTCTCTGAGCAAGACTGTTACCCCCGATCGTTCCCTGGGCACCCCACAAGGTAAACTTCTCCAATATGAGATCAATAAAGTTTAAATTATTATGTACATACTATATATATATATATATATATATATATATATATATATATATATATATATATATATATATATATATATATATATATATATATATATATATATATATATATATATATATATATATATATATATACATTAAAGAGAAATCAAACTATTGTACCAAGCTGAGAAACTAGAATGCCTCGCTCTTCAAAAACCATGTTCAATCATAAATGTATTGAAGAAAGTTTCACCATTACTGTCACCTCATCTCATGACATGTTTTCATCAAAAAATGCATTTTATTTGACATTATTTTCAAAGTAATTATGAAAGATGGAAGGAATATTAGATTGCTGTCAAACACCATGATCTTTCCCTGTAATTATTTTCGACATCAGGGAGCCAGAACATCTTGTCTCTTTTGAAGGACAGGAAGTAAGTGAGTGTTTGTCAGGGCTCAATGATTATTTATTCTGTGATGCCAGACACGTTTTCTGGGAACAATATCCCTATTAAACTAAATTTAGAGTGTAATAATCTTCACAAAAAAGTATTTAACCTGCCTTCACACATTTTTAATTAGATGCACAGAATCTTTAATACAAAAAAGAATATGTATAATCAATTGAGCTCAAAGTAGCAGCTCTGAAGAAAATAATTTACTTTCTATAAATCTCAACTAACCCGACAATGCCCTTTCTTTACATTTTATGCTATTAATATCTAAGAAGATTTGACTGTTAAATCAAAAAATGAATGGAAGAATCGAAGGGAGCGTTGCTAAGATATTTTCTCAAACCTTAACAAGAAGACGATGCTTTGGATAATAGACTCGTATTTAGCCTTCAAGCACGTCCTGCCAAGTTGTCTCAACACTTAGACCTTGTCACAAATCTTACAGACTAACTTGTCAGAGAATATCTGCCTGACAAAAATTCACCAACAGTTTTATTTTTGAGGCCCTTTTTTTTTTTTTTTTTTAGAAACAATTTCAGTATTAAGTTTTTCTCACTAAGCTGCCTTTGATTTTGAGTTTTTCTTTATTTTTTCTGAAATTATGTCAATCAAAAGTCGAATCAAACAACCCAATTAAAGGCAAATGCAGCAAAAGAGTTGAGAAGGAAGTAAACAAAAAAAAAAAAATCAATTAAAACGAGACTTTGCTTTGTGTGAGAATTAGAGAAAATGCAAAGACAGATTTGAGACGCACAAACTGACATTGATAATGAATGGCTTAGGATTAAAAAAAGGATATAAAAAAAAAAACAAGAAAAAAAAAAATAAACTTCAGATACAAAGATACGTCACAAGAGAAGAGCCATCTGACAAGATCTAAAGTAATTTACATATTTGTGGAAACAGAAATACCAGCAACGTTAATCAGGCGGATTTTGTCAGGTTTTATCCCTATGGAAACAGTTTGAAAGTAAAGTTCATGATATGCTTGATTTAACCTTTTTTAATGTGATGTGAATGCACTGAATGTGAAGTCAAGCATACATATTTGGATCTCTAACTTTTAAATGTATGGGTTTACAAAAAAGAGTCTGTATATTATAAGCAAGTTATGCAGATATTGATATCACAGTGCAATCAAATATAAGATATAAAGCATGTTTCAATCCCTCTTTGTTTTCTCATCTGTCAATGTTTCCAGCTCTCTGTATCTGCTGCAGTAAGATGTCATCCAAACGAATACATCACTGGCATAAAATTCCTTAACCCCTTGAACCCTACGGACCCACCGGCGGGTCCAGCTGCTACGTGACCTCGTAATTTTAACAAACCCCCAGTATTGATGTAAAAAACACATTTGGCACAGTTTGGTGAAATTTTTGGAAAAATGTGCCAAAATGGCCTCTCCGCCTAAGAAATTTCTCACTAATACCATTCTAAAATAAATATGATTCATCTGATTGAGTCCAAATTTGGTATATTTTTACACAACATTTAGATTTGAAAGTCTGTACTACTTTTTTGTGCTATAAATAATATTTTGGTAGTGTTTTGTAATGTTTATTTCAAAGAAAATTTTGGCGAGGTTCAAAAAATGCAAAATATTTTGTATTTTGTCCCTAATATTTCAGGCAGGGTGAAAGCTACAATGGTGCTGACACCAGAAAACCATTCTATGACATCTTACCTTTACAGACGTACCAAAAGTTTCTTCTTAAATCTAATAGCTGTGAGGCTATAAGTTATTTACTTTTGTGTGTTTTTGTCAGGCAGAAATTTATTTATACCCCCTTAGGGTGTAAGAGGTTAACTCCATTTGGAATAAACTGGCTAACAAATGTATTTTGTAAGTATACATTTTGGAGCTGATGCACATTACACATTATTATTATTCACATTGACCTGAAAACCTGTGAAGAAGTCGCCTGTTTTCTGTGCTTTTACTACATTGCCAGAAATTGGCCTGGCCAGTAAAAGCAATTCACTCTGCCTTCGGAAAGCTCCACTATATCATCAAGTCTGGTGGCAGTTGGTTTCACTCAACGTGAGGATGTGGATTTTATGGAGCACGTTGCAGTGCGCTGATATGCCTGGGTTCACCTGATTTTTTTTTTTAGATGGAACCAGTATGAAGAACACCAACTCCTCCTCCAGGAGCTATGCCTGGATTACAGTCGATTTCAGCTGTACTTCTAATTACTTCTGACCCAGTTCAAGGACCTGCATTAGGACCACAGAGGAAGGGTGAGATGGCAATCAGTGCAGGAACAGTGGCAGAGATCGCACAGGGAGAAGGTGGCCGGCAGTGCACTCCCCTAGAGCTAAGGAACCACAACAGAGAAATCGAGGAGGACAGATGTACATCTGAGAAGTCCACCGGGCA